ACGGCCGTTGGGGCGTGGACTTCTTCTGGGATTGATCCTCACCCTGTCCGCACTTTCCCACGGGCCCCCAGAGATACAGCCTTCCAGGAGGCGCTCGCGTTGGCGGGAAAAAACCGCGCGTGGATCTTAACGAGCCAGCACATAATTCCGTACACGCGTGGGCCTCGCCGCCGTCCATCGGCGAAGTGCGATGCTGACCTGCGCAGCAAGACGTTGCACTATATGTTCGACGAGGCTACAATCAGGAAGCGTACGAGGGGGGCGCCCATGCGTATTCCTGCGATGTGGGGGGCGCCCCATGTATCACCTAGATGTGCAACAGTGACGCTGCGCACGCGAGAAAATGGAAGTCTGCTCGTGGAGTGGCAACAGCCACCAGCCACTGGCCGAACGCCTGCCACCACTGACGCGCTACAAGACCCCTCACTCATCCGTTTTGCCGTCGCCATCGGCTCCCCCCCATGACCCATGCAAGGAGATCGCTCCCCAACGCAGGCCGCGAGGCGCGATTATCCTGGCGCGACCTTGGAGTGGACTGCGGGGGCGACCCTGCCATCGGCATTTGAAGCCGCAGCAACACTGGAACACGCTGCAAGAAGCACATGGTTTTACTGAGGCGCGGGAAAGGGGGCCTCGTTGCCAAAGGAGCAGCCGCCGCGCGAAACGCGCCCTTCCTCGCGCCCTTCGAACAGCCGCATGCAAAACACATTGCCAACCCAGACCGCAAGACACGATTCTCGTGGAGCAACTTTGGATAGATTGCGGAATGGCCGCTGGCATCGAAACTTCATGTCACAGTGACACCCGAGCATCCCAACGAAACTCGCATGAACGGTCTTGTCGGAAGAAGCCCTGGCTGCCAAAGGATCTTGCGCCGCACGAGCGTGACCGTCTTCAAGCCCCTACCACGACCGCGTAAAGAATGCACACTCACCACCAGACCGCAAAGCGCGATTATCCTCACACGACAATTGGGTTTGGACTTTTTTGGACCTGGTCTCAATCTGTCCAAAGCCTCCAACGCGCCTCCGACGATGAAACCCTCCAAGAGCACCACCGCTGGTCCGGAGGACAAAGAATTGGCTTCAAAACCTCCACCCTGCGCGGTGGGACGTCCGCGCGCTGCGAGATCCTCTTCGCAGGGCTTTCGTCGGGGTCCTCCTACTAGGTTGCGGCTCAAAGAAACAGAATCTGCATCACTAATCGCTCCTCCTTTTCTGAACCACCTCATGCCTCCTCCTTTCCCCATGCTTGCGTCGCAGCAACTCAACGCGCCGTTGTTGATTCCGTGCGCGCGTGAGCCTCGCCGCAATGCGTCCGCGACGTCCGATCCGTACCTGTGCTTCAAAGACGTTGCACAGTATCTTCGGGGAAGACACCCACGAGCCAGCAGGTGAGGGGGACGCCCCCTACGTATGTGTATATATATATATATATGCGTATACAAATGCACACATCTGTATACCTATCTGTATATGTATAGATAGATAGATATACATATATATATATATACACATACATATATATACACCTATACTTGCGTTGCGGGGGGACGCCCCTGTATCATCTGGCTTATATCTGTACATGCCCGGCACACGCAAAAACTAATTGAGATCTGCTCGTGACCGCTGTCGCTGGCGCCTCATCATCATCCGCTGTCGCTGGCGCCGAATGAACACACCACGGGCCAATTCTTGAGCCCAAAGACACGCTGTCGAATGGCACCGCGCAGTGCCACCTCTGTGCACGCATGCCTGCCCATGTTATGTACGCGTGTGTGTACACTATACGATTGCATGTTCTGTATATACACACATATGTTTATGTAAATATACATATACGATCATTAGTACATACAAACGTACAAAGTTGCTGAGGGTGGACCTGATGCGAGGCCGGAGCAAGCGGCGGCAACCTGGCGCGGCGACGTGGGGGGGCAGTGCACAAAATAAAGGCCCCGCGCGAGATAGAGAGAGACAGGTTGTTAATGCTGCACGACCCCCCCCCGCCCAAGGCCCTCCCAGATATCCCAAGGGGTCGGCGGTGTGGCGTAAGCCCATGAATCAAAGTGGGCCGCCTGAGCAAAATCGATGAGCCTCTCACGCTGGTCGCTCCTCAATAGCGGGAGGAGCTCGAGCTCGTCCCCCGCGAGCCCCATGCACATCTTGAACGTGTCGGTGGCGTCCACGATGCTCCATTCATCGCTGAGCAGATCAATCCAGGCGCTGGTCTTGTCTTCCTCGAGGTGCTCAGAAGAAGAGGACGAGCTGAATGCAGCGTCCCCCTGATTCCGCGGCGCGCCACTTGTGAACGAAGGCGCCAATGCGTGAGGGCTGGAACGTCGCCTCGGCTCTCGTCCAAAGCTGCCCGGTCCGCCCTGCGACTTGCGGAACTCCAGCGGGGGAAACGAGTCGGACTGCTCGCGGATTCCCACCAGGTACGCATTTTTCTCCGCCCTGCTCAGGAACTGCACCACGAACACCTCAACCTCCAGCGTGAT